TTTTGGTGGCAGCTTCTTTAGCAGCTCCTGTTTTCAATTATGTGGACAGCATATATCTGCAGACATTATGGTAACTTATTTCTTTACTTGTTTGTTTAGTTTTGTTTTTTTTCAGATCATTTCAGTTTTCAGATAAATTAAGTACTCCTAAAGAAACTGGTAATTAAGATTAATCTAACTGTGTGGAACAAAAAACCTGTGCAGAGATGATGTAATAGACCCATATGCCTGAATTTTTTACACATTTATTCTTAACTGGCACAGGAACTAGATATTTGTTGGTACTTAATTAACTATACAAGTAAAAAGTAGTCAAACTAAGCTAGTTAAGATCCAGGAATAAGGGCTGAGAAACAAGTCTTCAGAATAGGCAGAATTCAGATTAACAGAAAAGAGAAGGGAGTGGGAAGAAAGGCTGTATGGATTCTTATTCATGTCATAGGTGTCCTTGAAAAAGTAACCTTGATGTCAGTAAAAATAGGACATGTTTTCCTGGTTTTGCTTTATGCTTTACCTGCTACCTTCAAATCTAGGTTTCTGAAGCCTCTTTGAAAAGCACCTGAAGAAATCTGTGAATCCTGCTAGACTGTAGGAAGGAAGGGGAAAGATCGGATGCAAACAGGCATACAGGAGTGTACCTCCTTAAATAGTGGCTGTTGCTTTCCCTGCTGTCATTGGAGGTGTGAGCTGTACCTGAAGCTGAGCTGTAGCTGAGGGCAGGTGTTACAAGTGCAGTTATTTCTCCTGAGCAGTTACGTAAGAGTTCAGGACAATGAGGCTGAACAGCAGAATTACTACGTAACTTAGTTTACTTACTAGAAAGTCCACTGTTACCTGTATTATTTTTAAGGGGAGAGAGAGAGAGACACTCAAAAAACCAAAAAACCCCAAAAGCTTTTAAGGAACTAGGAGCCTTGATCTTGGCAGTCAGTGTAGTTTTTCATCCTGTTGAAAGCCGAAACTAGAATTGCGTCTGTGAAAGATGCTTACCTTGCTGCTTGTCTGGGACTCTGTGAGTGAGTTATGATGTCTTCATTGTGGTCAAATTCCTTATTTTGCTTTTATCAGATGAATACAAAAGTTCAGCTAATTTTGGTGGCAGCTTCTTTAGCATCCCTTGTTTTTGGCAAGCCATGGCTGCCCCATCCCTGGAAGTGTTCAAGTCCAGGCTGGATGGGGCTTTGAGCAACTAGTGGAAGGTGTCCGTGCCCCTGGCAGGGGGGGTTTAAACCAGATGATCTCTAAGGTCCCTTCCAACCCAAACCATTCTGTGATTCTGTTGTGTGAGTAACGAAGAAATGCTGGGTGTAACTCACCAGGGTCCTCTGTAAACACACTCTCAAAAATTACCTGGATGAGTGTGTCCAAGGAGAGCAGTGGTATTGGAGGGGTAGGACTGTAGTGGTGGCTCGCTCCTGAATGGTGTCAGCCTTTGACACAGAAGAGCACTGCTGATTTAGAAATATAGGTGGTTATTACCCAGTGTCTGAGAAAGGAACAAAAGAGGCTAAAGCCAAAACTTCTGCTTTAGCTTTGGAACTTGGTAAAATGAGAAACTCAAGTCTTGTATGGTTTGAATGCTCCCCTTTTATACTACCAGCGGATAGTTTCTCACATCAGACGGTTCTCAAGCTGGTAAAAATTAAGTGTAGGCTACAAATACTGAATCTTTTGTCTTCTCTAAGACAAGTGCTAATATGGTAAAAACTTTGCCTCGTATGCAATTACACATTCTACTTCGCACTGCATGGCAGTTCCTCTGTTCATCTAATCCTCCACTTAAAACTGAATTTCAGCATATTAACTGTAAACCCTATTTCTGTAGGACACAGCCCTTGACTGTGTAGTGGAAAATAGGAAGGAGCTTAGAAATAACTTTCTTATTATTGTACTTAGACTCAAATGACTTACAGGAACTATTTTCCCCAAAGGTGCATCACAGCTTTCACGACGGTAACATCTGCATACAGTTATTACCACTATGGCCGAAAAACGGTTCAGGTGATAAATAACAAATGAAGTTCTCCTGACAGGACAGGATCTTGGCACCACTGGGTGCTGTACTGCCCAAGGGGGTTATATTGCAACTGAATTTTGAATCAAGAACTCTCTTGGGTTTTTTCTGCTTAAACCAAGGCATCGCAATGAAGTGAAGATTGAACATGTACTGTGTATATATAGAGAGACTTTTCAATGTATTTTTAATTTGTTTAAAAATAGAGTTGTTTACAAAAATAAATAATATTCTTAAAGACACAGGTTACTGATTGATGCAACTTGCATTCTGAATAATTTTATACTCTTTTTGAAGTCAAAATAATGCACTTTTCATCACCTTTCTTGCCATCTTCACACAAGACACTGAGTAGGCCAAGATCTGAGAAGAAAAATCAATTATAAGAACAGATTTGTCTTTGTACCTCAGCCTAAGTCACTAAACCAGCATTGCTCATTAGGACTTCATGATATCCATCAGCCTGCAGCAGAGGAAAGCATCTCATTGGGGAACAGTATCTTCAGAGATCTAAACCAGAGGGATAAAAATTTTTTACTTCGTATTCCGTGGTGATATGGATAAGCCATGAAGAGTTACTACCCTGCCCCCTTTTTCAATACAAGCAACTGTGAACTGTACTCATCAGAGAAGAGCATTGAGTGCCAGAAGGGTCGGCTGTGCAGTGAGGAGTCTGTACCCAAATGGAGTTATGTTTCTCACGCTATATGTTAATTTCTAGTGATTGAAAGGAACTCCCGTATCTCCAGATTCTTTAAAGCTTTTAACGATGCTGTTTAATCTAAATACTGCTGTAGAAAAGGGACATTTTAAGTATTGTCCAAATGAATGGAGAGGGTGGAGAATGGAGAAATGTTAGCTGCACATACTGTTAATTCCTTAATTTTCCTATTGCTCTAGCTTGAAGAGGTACGCCGTGATCACCTCGGGCCAGGGCAACTTGCACGTGTTCTTTGCCTGTTCTCTACTTACAAAAAGATACAGAATAAAGAGCTAGGCAGAACAGATCATGTTGATCATAAACCTATGTTTTATATTATTGAGCAATGTGATATTTCTTGTATGTCAAAAAAGTGCAACTATGAAGGGCTTAAATAATTGAAATCAGGTGGCAAGGCCACTGGTAAATGATACTAGCAGAAGAAAATTTGCTATAGCCATCTCTTTCGAGAGCACACAGTCTCTTTTGTGACTGCACATGCTTGTATATACAAAGCATTTTAATATTTTTTATATTTAAACTTGTATAGAATGGTGCACAGAGAAAACACTTGATGTTTGTTAGTACCTTTTTCTTAACTGTCCCCGTGTTTTGTGGTCAACCCTACATCTTACAGCAAAGGGATAGAGAGCAAAGCTGATGGAAGCTTCCTTAAACTACCTGTGTTTGGTAAAATGGAGTGCTTTTTCTTGAAGAAACAGCATAGAAAGAAATGTATTGTACCCAGTCATGTCATTCCTGTTCGGTTCTGGTTAATGGGATTGGGTTTTGGTTGGGTTTTTTTTTGTGCTGGGGTGGTTTTTTTTTCCCTGTTTTAATCACAGATACCTTTGAAACACTGCATGGCGGTGTCAGGGAATGGAGTACTGGTCAGTGAAGGCTCCATGTTGGTCTGTGTTTTTACACCGTGTTGAAGTATGTTCCATGTACAGCGACTCGGTGGGACGTGCCTAAACACTTGTGTTAAATAAAATCAGTCTGGATGGCAGAGCGGCTGCGTTCTCCACTTGCGTGTTGGGTACTCCATGGTTACAGTTACCTTGCTAAGGGCGCGATGCGCCTCTCCCCGGTGACAAGGCTCAGTACAGCGGTGCCCGCCATCGCCGGCGGGGGC